CTACTTTTCCTTTTGAACGAGAATGACTACATTCTTATCCATGAGAAAAGACGACAGCAGAAAAATATGTACCTGGTAATTATTTTTCCAAATGGAGCATTCACAAATCATATATTGTGAATAAGTATCATCCTTTGGGAATATGAAATGGATAAGTTCAATCGTGTGAAATTTTCCAGCTCAACTGGACAACCTTAGCAGCTGGAAATTTTGGAACTCCTGTAGCATCAGTGCCTCTGGGATATCTGCAGTATCGACTACCTCAAGTTTACTAGTATCATACAGGTTACCCACACACACACCCAACCCAGAATGGTCGAGAAAGCCAGCTTGAATATTTCAAGCCATTTAATGTTCTTTGTTGCATACCTGGAACTAATCACCAAATCGGAGAGCCTTTGTTTTCTGTCGTATAAGTTTGCAATTACAGAAATTACAGCACAACTGATATGGGGGTGTTCACAACTCACAGCTCCATGGTTATATTAACAAGTTAACACAAACAACAAAAAATTTGGTATTCAGAATCACGGTTTCCTTTGGATTTGGCAAGTGCAATTACTTCTAAGGCTCAATCTAGTTTTGTGTGCACAAGTTACCTATCCAGGAGCACCCATCACTTTTGCGGCATGATATCCTGGAGTTGGAATTGTTAGACCAACATCGAGCGATAGAATTCCCTCTAGGCATCAGAGTAAATATTAGCATTTGTTGTTCTCCGTTTCATAGCAGCAACAGTGAATCTTGATACTACGCCAAGCTGACATAGAGATTTGATATTTGACACCCTGTAACATAGGTTTCAGTTATATTTGACATCCTGGCCATTGTTATTGACTCATATGATCTCACTCACGAGTGTAAATATAATCAAATTGGCAACAAACAGAGGGCCAAATCATCAGATTTTACTGCAACAATAAGATTGTAGGGTATTATTTGTAGCATTCCTGGTAAAAGATGAATTTTATGAACCAACTTTTTAGATGAATGAATGTTTGTAGGGAAAATTGGTCAGCATGGATGGTTTTAGGGCTATCTGGCACGTGTTATTATATCTTGATCCAAAATCGAACAGATAATCACTTTGGTGTGTGCCAGGGACGCACTCAATCACAGCGGTGTGCGTAGTTGTGTGTGTCTTCTATGTAACCGTAAAAAAGAACGAGACAGACTTTACTTCTCCAGCTCTTTTCTTTCGAAAAGATTATTGGCTGACCTCAAAAAAGGAAAAGATTATTGGCTAGAGCTCTGCCTGTTTAGTTGAGCAGAGAAAAAGCAAGAACAGATTGTGCCTGAATAACAGTGCTAACTATTTTTATTTCTCGGGGAACAGCATCTACAATTATAGAGAAGAATCAACTAAGATCCCTTTGGGAAGAAAACTACTCTGCTCTAGCTAGCCTCCACTGATCAATTCTTCTCTGGCTATCTTTAAAAAAGGAATCCTGTAAGTTTACGAAGTTAACTCTATTATGTGTCAACATCTTTAGAATGGCAAGAAATTTGCAGATATTTTGTAGTAAATGTGTTAATCCATATGAAACTGTTGCTATTCTTTTATCCTTTGTACCGGACTGTGTTCGGGGATGTTTTTACAGTAATACTACAAACTTGTTCCAAAGTTTATCACTCTATATTCGATTGCTCCAATATTAAATCTCTCTGTAGATTATTCGGACGCATGTTTGTCTGATAAGATCACCCTTTCACCCGCTAAATCATAGAATGCTGATGCCTGATGAAGTCCTTGTTTAGAAAAAAGAAAACGCAACCATGCAGAGAATATGATTATATACCTTTGATTTTTCAGCATAGGAACCTTGTTTTTTATCATCTTATGATGCGCTTATGTTTGCAGGGTTTCAGAACTTTCAAAGTGGCAGCAACCTGCAGCAAGTGGACACAAAAAGGATATTCTCATCTTTCATCTACTTTTCCTTTTGAACGAGGATGACGACTTTCTTATCCATGAGAAAAGACAATACCAGAAAATAGGTACCTGGTAATTACTTTTCCAAGTGGAACATTCACAGACCATACTTGAGTATTGTCAATGTCAGGTGTTTTCACCTTTGGGAATCTGAAATGGATATGTTCATTCGTGTGAAATTATCCAACTCAACTGGACACAACCTTAGCAGTTGGAAAATTTGGAACTACTCCTGCAGCATCAGTGCCTCTGGGATCTCTGCAGTATCTCAGTTTACCAACAGGTTGCATCTAGAGAATTTTCGGAGGTAGCCAGACACCCAGAATGGTAAAAAAGCCACCTTGAACATTTCAAGCAGATTGATGGAACTGCAAGTAATTGCTGAATCAGAGCTATTGTTTTCTGTCAAATAAGTTTGCGATTATAGAAATATTACCAAGTTAACACGAACAATAAATTTGGTTTCCAGGATCACAGTATCCTTTGGATTAGACGAGCACATACTTCTACGGTTCTATCTACCTTTTGTGCATAAGTTACCTGTTTTTTGGGACACCCATCACTTTTGTGGGATACCATCCTGCTGCTGGAATTCCGAGACCACATTGAGCAATAGAATTCCCTCTAGGCATCAGCATAAAGAATAGCATTTGTTGTTTTCTCCATATCATTAGCAGTAAAGTGGAATCTTGATACTACTCGAAGCTGCTGTAGGAACATAAAATACTTCATAAGATGGTAAGAATTAGTTGTAGCATTCCAGATTAAAAAAGAACTTTTATGCAAAATTTTCATGCTGTTTTAGGGCATAAATTACACATTTAATGCAAATCCTATCTACAAATATTCCTGTAGTGTTAAGAAAGAATCATTTTTCTTTTTTTGCTGGGCCGGCCGACAGGAATCATAAATATTATTGTTATTGTATAAGTTGTATAAGTTTCAAGGGGTGTTGCTAGTGTATGGAAAATGCTACGTGTACGATTTTCACTTACGATATTAGTACGATCAAACGCGGATGGGGCAACACGGGAATAAAATGATGCGGAGCGTGTGTGCTGCAGTCGCTCATGGGCCCTGAAACCCATATACAAACTCCTCCCCGTCTTTTGCCTCTTTGCTTGTACTGTAAACATGACTTATTTTTTTTTCGAACTCACCGTCTGATCTAATCTACAACCATAGACTAATCTAGATTGCATACAAAGAGGTATGTCTATCTTATTTGTTTGATTTCCTTTGGCCTCACGAACATATATTCGTTGGTACGCTAATCTAGACCTTGTAATGCGTGTATATATTTTTTCATTTATATGGTTTTAATCTAAATTTTTTGCTTTGCAAAACATGTCATCATAAACTTGCTTTGCATTTTTTTTTAATATGGATATGGGATGAGCGATGCAAGAGAAATCCATCCACGTAGGACTAGAACTTGCAGCCGTTACTGAACGCTACTACGCTAGTTGAAGCGTTTCATCGTACAGCCATCGTAAAAATAATATTGTACTTGTACGTATAGCGGCGCTCCTAGTGTATAGTGTACACAAATTATAGCAATGGTCATTAGTTTAAGGAATAGCAGGTGCTGACATTTGAACTGTGTTTAGAGTGAGTATTTTGCAGGAAGTTCATAGAAAACAATTCACAAAAAATGCCCATTTTCCAAATGAGGCCCTTTTAAATTCCAAACCAGAACTTAATGTAGAGCAATCTCCGTTTTCTGGTAACAATAGGCAACAGGAATACAAGGATGAGGCAGAATGCATGACATAAATGAAATGCAAAGCCGCAACTGCAAGAATTTCTTGAGTAACCTTTGGATCTAAGAACTTCTTGGGAACTGACAAGTCAAATGACAGAAGTGGTCAATTGAAAAATAAGCCATACATAGCAAATGGTGAGCAGCATGTTTAGGTTTGTATAATTGCTAAATTGCACATTAGATATGGGTTGCCAGTAACCAGTTGATATCAACGAGTGCTTATAGAATGCAAGCAACAACTGACAGACTAGTAGTGTTAAAACCTGATATTCTGTGTATGAATGGAGTGACTTCCGGAAGCAGCATTACTTTTTCTTGTGATAAAATTCCAAGTTATTTTCTTGCAGTTTGGAAAATTAAACATTCAGTTTTTACTGGGTCCATTTTTGCCACCAGAAAACTGCAAATTGGAAGGCAATCGCTCCTATTTGAATCCTGGGGCTTCAACTAGAACCAGATCAAGTCCTCAATGTTCAGTTTGACATAGCGAACTTTCCTGAATACCAGGTCAGACCAAGAACTCAGCATATACAGTATCTAATCTCCATATTATCACAGGGATTCTCAATATATGCCATCGCAATACACTATTGAACATTGAAATTGGAAAGGCCACCAAGAAACGAAATTTGGCACATGTAGAGCGGAGTTCACATCTCCCATGGTAGAAAACTAGAAATTATTACAATCGTAATGAGAGAGAAAGAGAGAGGACGCCTCACCAGTTTCTCCTCTTCCTGCCGGTCGGTGGGATCTCACAATCTCCATGGCAACAGCGAAGGTCTTGGCTCCAATCACGGTGGAAGCGTCGCGCGCTACACCTCCTCCTCTCTCTCCGCGCGCGAGAGTTCGAGATGGGGAATTTTGGTGGCTATTTGGCGGCAAACGATCGTGCTTTTCCCGCCGCTACGCTAGAACCTTAGAACTCGGGGAACGAGGAGGAGAGGGCGCTTGCTGACGTGGAAGGCAAACTCGTACGGGTGGCGAGCAGCTGCTGCCACGTGGCGCTCCAATTCATCTTCATAATTTTTTTATTTTTGATTTTTTTAATTTTAAAATAAACCCTTAAAAAAATTTGTAACTCAACTACGAAACAATACTAAAACATCATTGACAGCGAACATGATAGTTTTATTCTATCACACTAGCAAATGTGGTGTGGTAAAATAGAGAGGCTCCTCTGACTTAACGTCAGTGACCATGTCCCTCTGACTTTACATCAGAGGAACCGTAGAAAAATAGCCCTCCACATCAGCCATACCAGCGTGACAAAATATCATTGTTACCTCAGTCAAATCGGTGTGAAATATTTTGACACGTGACCAAAAATTTGAAAATAAGTTTTAAAAGAGTCTATTTTAAAAAGTTCACAAAATAAAAAAAAAATCTCGTCTTCCCTTCCCAGTGTCCCCCAAATCCATCACCAAAGCTGCAATGCGAGCTGCCACCGCTCTCCCTTCGATCCCCTCTTCTTCTTCCCCAAGTCCGATGGCCAGTGATCCCACTGAGCTTCGCTGCTCCTCACCGGAGTCCTCCGGCGATGCAGGCGCCGAGGATCCTGCGGCGGTAGACGCTGCGGAGGAGAGCGGCGGCGAGGGTGGCAGCGGCCACATTGCTGCTGGTACTGAGGCGGCGCCGCCGCGGCCGCCGGAGCCGGAGCCGGAGAAGGTCGCCCGCCACGGGGTGCTCCCACTCCTCGGGAAGCCCTACTTCACCTGCATCATGTGCAAGTCCCATGTCCAGCCGCCATTCCAAGTGGTAAAACCAAAAAAAAATAAATCCAAACCAAAAATCACAGCTCTGCTCTTGATATCTTCGGATTCGAGTTCACTAAACTTCGATTTGATCGGGGAGTAAAAAACCTTTTGGGGAGGCAGGTGGTCCCGAGGTCGTTCGCGCCGCTGCTGCCGTCGAGGACGACGCCGGCGACGCTGTCGTGGCGGGGGCGGTCGTGGGGGATGCGGTTCACCGGCGGGCGGCTGATCCAGCGGCTGGAGGCCGGGTGGCGCGGCTTCGCCGTGGACAACGACCTCAGGCTCGGCGACGGGTGCGTGTTCGAGCTCCTCGTCGGCGGCGGCGGCGAGCAGGAGCGCGTCGAGTTCAGGGTGCAGGTCCTCCGCGCGGAGATCCCGGCGAGGATCCGGGGCCGCGCCGGCGGCTACACCTCGGCCACCCCCATCGTCATAGACTAGGGCGATGGTGCTGCTGCTGCTGCCATTGTTCATCGCCATCGATGCCATCTCGAGCAGCTCGTTTTGAACTGAAATTTGGGAGGTTTCAGTTTCAGGTAATGCAGCTGTGGAAACAATTTGATTCCAGGATGAATTCAGAAATAACTAAGACAAATTTGGCACCCCTGACCCTCGGTTGCATTCATTGTGAATTTTGGAATATGCTTAATGCTTTACAAATATAAAATTAGGAAATATATACTAGCAAATATCAATTGAAAAAACAAGTACACTGGTTTGCTGTTGAATTGCTCAAGACATCCGCAAACATTCTACATAATATCTTGAAAGACAATCGGATCACGTGTGACATGTTCATATTAGAAACATCACGAGATACACTCATAGATTTGGTTATAAAGGCCAAAAAAATTTTCCATTCTGACTTGTGCACTGCAGATGAATTTCATCTTTAGGAATTCTTGTAATGCTGCATTCAGTTCCAATGTTGTGAGCATCACTACTACTCATGTTCACTTAGGTCCCGTTCTGCATGCATCCGTGGCCATAGCCCTTTAGCTTTGCTCAGTGCAAAATTCCACAAATTTGACTTATTTGAGTGCTTATGTTCTGGAAGAATCTTGATTTCATTTTTGAATAGCTCATGCTTAATCATGCATTCTGCTCACCTTGGCCTGAACCTGAAACTGAGTCTTTTGAAAATTAACATCATTCCCATGAAGTTACCTGAAGAAAGGTATGCACACATGTAATTTAAATGATACTCCCGGCAAGAAAATCTTCACAACACTATAGTTTGCTATCGATGAATCACAAACTTCAGGCAAAGTGGAAACCTATTGAGCTTCAAGCTTATTCGACAGTGTGAAATATGAACCACAATATTTTCTCTAACAGGTTGTCCCTGAAAAAATCTGTCTGTCTTCTGCAAAGTCTAGGAGAAACATAGACACAATGAACTGCAATATCATATTGCTAGTACTATATATCAGCTATCTTACGTTGTATAAAATGGCTAAGGTGCCATGTTGCAATTATCCAACTAAAAAGAAAAACTGAACTTCCGAGACCTGTATTCAGTGTAAGACAACTGAGTAGTGACTCAATACTTTCATCACATGGTCAGACACTCGGACGCACAAGCAGATGATGAGAGAGAGAGAGAGAGAGAGAGAGGCCTGACTTGAGTATTTTGATTCACAGAACCAAATGAAAATCATGCAAACATTCGTCTTCTCCCATAGATTCAAATGTTTATGTCACTTGCAGATTTTCCAAACCACAATCGTAGTATTTCTGCATGTTCAGTCCGATCCATTTCTTGGATATGAACACAGTACAAATGGGTTCCATAAACATGAACAAAAATCAACAAAATATGAAGCTGAATCGAACACAAACGGAAACAAAAGGATTTAAACAAACGAACATCGCCATCAATGTACGTATTCATGTGGGCACTAGGAATTCGGCTTGGCCGTCGTCCATGGCGAACTCCAGGACAGCCGCGGCCATGATGGCCGCCACGAGCAGCACCACACCCGCCGCGGCAATGGCGGCGACGAACCGCCCAATGCTGCCCGTCGCCGGCGTTGCTGTTCCCCCTGTTTTGGCCGCCTCGCCGACCACGGCGAGCTCGTCGTCCCGTAGAGAGAACAGGGACGTGGCTGCGGAGGAGCAGGAGGAGTTGGACGAGGCGGCGGCGGCCATGGCGGCCATGGCGCCAGCGTCCACGGAGCTGACGCTGGACGCCGCGTCGTGGTGGTCGTCTCCGTCGTAGCGGCCTCGTTCGGGCGTCACGCCGGCGCTGGCCGTGCTGCTGCTGCTGCCGTCTCGCTGGAGGGACGAGACGAGCCGCCTCGGCGAGCCGCCGAGACGGACCCCGAGGAGGAGATGGCTGCCCGGCGCGTCCGCGGGTTCGGCGGCGACGATGACGGCGGAGGACGGCGTGCCGGTGCCCGAGCCCGAGCGACTGCGACGGTGGTGGCGGCGCCGGGACGCGCCCGAACACCGGCTTGTCTTGTACGCGTCCCACTCCCGCTCCAGCTCCCTCCACCGCATCTCCAGCCCGCCGCCGCCGCCACGGAAGGCGTCTTCGCAGCTACCATGCCGGCGCCGCCCGTCGCGGGCGGCGCCCGTGGCCGTGCTGCAGGTGCTCATGGCGGCGCGCCGGCGAACAGAGCGGAAGAGACGCCGCGGCGCGGCGCGGCTGAAATAGCCGTGGTGCGGTTACGGAGATGGAAAGCGAGGAGCACAACCGCCGCCGCCGCCGTGTTCAGATTTCGAAATGGCCAACGCGCCGCTCATTTACTCGAGCGGTTTACTAAAACATTTCCAATCAATCCAAATTCAGCAAGTTATTAGCAAATTTTAACTACCAATTCAACGACGTGACACTCGAACACCAAGTTGCAATACACGAACAAGCAACAAACTTCACATGACACAAAACACAAACATAATCACAAATAACAAGAGTCTCACAGCAAAATTAAATATATATAGCTTTCGATCGTCGATCAGTCTGCCTTCTTCGATTCCACCGGCTTCGCCGCCACCGTCGCCGCGGCTGCGTGCCGGTCCTCGGCGGTCTCGGCGTACACCTCGTCGCGCATGCGGAAGTACTTCTCGAAGGAGCGGGGGAGGAACTTGGGAATGAGGAAGACGAGGAGGTTGGTGGAGAAGTAGACGAGGTTGGCGACGGCGAGGTAGCGGCCGAACCACATCCAGGCGACCGCCTCCTGCGGCGCGGCGGCGGCGGCGCGGTTCCCCCACGCGTCGTACACCCAGTCGACGGCGACGAACACGCGGCGCACCGTGTAGAGCAGCGGCACCAGCGCCCTGACCGGCGGCGAGAACGCGGCGCCCAGGGCGCCGACCACGTTCTCGGTGAGGATCTGGCACGAGAGGAGGAACAGGTGCGGCGTCGCCGACCTCACCGCGCCGTCGTCCCCGCGCGCGAATCCGCCCAGCACGTGCGCCAGCGGCAGGAACAGCCCCACCGTCGTCCCCAGCACCACGTACGCCTGGAACCACCTGCAAGAAAAACCGAACAAGAAATCATTCTTCCGATCGATCGCCATTGATGGTGTCTTAGATTTCTGGGTTAGTATAGTAATTACGTGCTGCCGCGGAAGATCTCTTGGGAGGAGGAGGAGGAGGAGGGGAGGGTGGAGTGGAGAGGGGGGAAGGAGAGGCGGGAGAGGAGGAGGAGGTAGAGGGTGGTGGCGACGGGGAAGGCGAGGTCGATGAGCGGGACGAGGCCGGAGGCGGAGAAGACCATGATGAAGGCGACGAGCTGGAGCTCGATGACGCGGAGCGACCCCATCACGCCGCCCAGCATCGTCGACGGCTGCTGCTGCCCCCGCTCCGCCGCGGTGTCGTCCGTGCCCGACGTCCGCGGCCCCACCGCCAGCGACATCCCCGACATGGCCGCCGCCTCCTCGCACGCAAACGCAACTGATCGGAGAATCGGAGACGAAGAGCAGAGCAGTAGCTAGAGCAGCAGGAGGGGAAATGCAGGAGCACGGGAGGAGCGGAGCGGAGTATATGGATTGCGTCGAACAGGTGGCGCGGGGGAGGAGGAGGAGGAGGTGGCGGGGAGAGGCTTGTCTTCTCGGGCGGCCGCGGCGCTCGCAGGGCGCAGGTGGGTGCGACGTGCCCGCGCGCGCGGCGAGGCACGTGTGCAGGAGGAAGGACACGCGGGGCGGGGTGCGTGGCGCCTCGGGGTTTGCGCGCCGATGCGAGCTGTGAGCTGCCAAAGGTGGGGGGAGAGGAGATGAGTATTCCGGCGTCTGGATGGTTCCAGCGGAAGATCAATGTATTCTCAGAACTAAAAGTCGTGGCCATTTTGAAATGGAAATATGTAAGGGCTATTTGATTCGTAGGATTAAGAGAATAGAGTAATAAAAAAACGTAGAAATATAATCTCACACTAATTGAATATGTATGGAATTTTAAAACACATGAAAATCTTCAAACTATTATTTGATTAGCACACATGAAAAACATAGGAATATTAGACATATGATGAGAAAAACATGAAGTAAGACCTCGTGCTTATTTTCCTCCAAAATTACTCTAGTAATGCCTATTCCATAGGTGTTTTCAAGTACTCTATAAGATTATTTCCGATAGGATAAAATCTTCTAGAATTCCTATGGTTTTTTCTTTGATTCAAAGAGGCCCTAATAAACTGCCGTAAATTTTTAAAATATATTTTTTTATGAAACTATATATAATTAAAATACAATTATATTGTAACTATATTACAGTTGCATTGTAATAGTATTGTAACTAAACTATAACTACAACATAAATGTAACTTATATAAAGTTAACATTCAACTATGGTAGTTAGCTAGCATTAGAATTTTATACGTGACATATGTAAAAATATCTTTCTAACAATATTTTTCGTCATGCATAAATCTAAAAGCGATTCGATGATCAGAAAATGCCTTGGAAAGTTTTCTACTAGCAAATCCGTTTTGAAAATTGAAGTGGTGTTATAAAATTTGGGAACCGGATGCTCTTTTAGAGAAAAGGTCACAAGGACCCAGCTTATATTGAAAGCTAATCATCAGAGTTATGCTGAGGATTCTAGCTTACAAGCAGAGTACAAACCAAAAGGATACAACACCATGAGCAATCCAAGTGGAGTACTAGACATTCAGAAGCGAAAGGATCAAAATAGCCGAGGCTGGAGATACAGGAAGACAGCTCTTCCCGTTCCCACAGTTTCACAATATAAATTATTCTAGTATTTCCCACATTAGACATATATTTTCTATATTTATATTGATATTATATGAATCTGAAAAATGCTAGAAAAACTTATATTTTGAAACGGAGGGAGTACACATCAATCTAGAGCTACCCTACGCCTGCTCTACTTTGGCGAAGCCCAGCACTGAACTCCTTTATCTTCCCTATCAGCAACTAAACCGGACGCTTTAGACTTTTCTCCGGTATGGCCCGGCCCATAGTGGAGAAGCTGGATTTAGACTCGAGGGCCGGGCCGAGATGGGCCACAAAGGTCGCGGAAAGCGACGACAGTTGCTGACTAGGTTGACCTTGACTCAACCACCCTACCATCATGCCAGTCATCCACTCCACACCACCACACACTCCCCTTCCCTTCCTTCTCCGGTCTCCTCCCTCTCTCGTCGTCGTCGTCGTCGCCGTCGCCGGCTCGCCGCGTTCTCCTCCGCCGCCGCTGCTGAGCCGGGATGGCCGCGCGTAGCCCCTACTTCGTCCCCGAGAGCGAGGGGATCCGGGCCGGGGAGTCGCCGGCCGCGGCGCTCCGCAGGATCCTCGCGTCGCCGGGGGCGCACCAGGCCCCCTGCTGCTTCGACGCGCTCGGCGCCCGCCTCATCCAGCGCGCGGGGTTCCCGATCTGCTTCATGGGCGGTGCGCATCGCCTCGTTCGCTCTCCCTCACGCTCGCGCGCGCTCGTTTCTGTTCGTGGTTAAAACCTTCGTGCTGGGGGTTTTAGTTTGGTGGATGCGCACTTGCTCCCTGGTCAGCACGCAATTATTGGATCCAATCACATTTAGAGCAGATTAGCTAGTATTAGCTAACAGCCGAGTAGGTGTTATGCAAAATTCCACTCATGAATCTTGCAATTTGCGAAACAATAATCATAAGCGAACTACAGTCCTGTTGCATCTTTAGAAGTAGATGTGAAGTCCACCCATGGAATAAGTTAATAACTATGTGGAAAGCACTCCAGATGTTCGGTATTGATCCAACGAAGGAGTACACAATGGCGTTTTAATGCATGAGAATGGAAGTGTCTTAACTTTACAAGACAATACGAGCACTGGTTGTTTGTTCTATGAACACATTGATTTACTCAGTGAAAATGGAACCAGTATGGAGTCTACTCAGTAGTTAGTCTTACTGTAATATATTTTGCATATCGAGCCAGTACTAGTTTCTCTAAAGGAAGGTTTTGGTATATTCTCAAGACAATTAATGCGTTGGAGACTTAATACTTGTCATTTGTTTCAGGTTTCTGTGTTTCTGCCGCACGACTTGGATTGCCAGATGCTGGTCTCATCTCATATGGAGAAATGGTAGATCAAGGGCGTCTGATCACTGAAGCTGTATCACTCCCAGTTATCGGCGATGGTGATAATGGCTATGGAAATGCTATGAGCATTAAGAGAACCGTAAAAGGGTATATTAATGCTGGTTTTGCTGGAATCATGCTCGAAGATCAGGTATGCTTCCTAACTCCTAAGTATCACCAAATGATCTTCTCATGGATTGGCTCTCTCCGTTGTCTTAACAATCTATGGTCATATTTGTAACATTTTTTTTATACATTAGACCTTTTGGTGAACATCCCTTCATCCTAAACTTATGAATCTCAATTAATTTGTTATATAAGGCTACAATTTCCTGTACTGACATTTGAGATCACTTTTAATGTTGAGAGCTCTACTTTCTCAGTTCCTTGCTTAATTTTTATGTATGAATATGTTATTCAATGTTGGGCTGTATAGTGTACAATTCTATAGGAATTTTACTGTCGTATAGCTATGGAAGATACCGTTTGGTGGCTAAGATTGGGACATCAGTTCCAAGGCACTGAATTATGAGAATTTGTTTAGTAGGAGCCTCCCTTTAGATAGGAAATCAAGAGCTTCAATAAGTACATAGTGGAGAGGTTGACACCAGATGCCTGATGTAGGGCGTGTTGTGGTTGAGCATTGCTTGTGGGATGTATTCTTGGGTTGTATTGGGGTTGTTTCATTGAGCCCTTCTTAGTACTAATATTTTCTTTCTTCTTAATGAGATGAAACACAACTCATGTGTTTTTGAGAAAAAAAAAAGAGAGCCACATAATAATTAATATGCATCATTGCACGTCACAATGGGTGTTTTTTTTTGACGCAAACGTCACAATGGGTGTTGCAAGGGCAAGAAAGTAAAGTTAAAGTATTCACTGTTTCTTTTGAAAATCCGGCCATAGCAGTGCTCCAACCTAACTATATTGATCTCTCCAGTGAGTGACACTTACTCCTATTTTTTTTTTTAAAAAAAAGAACTAGACCGGCAGGGGAATGACTGTCCCCACGGCTTTTCATTAAGAAGAAGCCACAATAAAACTGACTGAGAAAGCCACGAACCCTGCTCTGCTCCCCACATGTGGAGTCACCCACTATGGATTGGTTCTTGACACCTGTTTTGATGAGGGGCCAGCGAGTGACTTTTTTTAAGTAGGCCTGCAATTCGCTCCCTTGGGGAGTCGAACTTAGGGCCTAGAGGTGCTACTTGAGCACTGTAACTGCTAGGCTAGAGGTGCTATTTAAATATTTTAACTTTTATATATATTCGTATTGATCTGTCCTGTGATACTTAGTCCAAATTAAGCTATCATGTTAACATCACAGCCTGAGCACAAATTCACTAAGCTCAAATGTTCAATCTGTTGAGCACGACTATTGCATTATGATAAAAATGTTTCACCTACAGTAATTAAATTATACTTAGTTCTTTCACATATCTGTGCTATTCAAACTACTGTAGCTACTTTATTCATTCTAGCTTAATCCATTATTGATATATGTGCAGAAGACTTCCAAGATTGATATTTCTTTACCTTTTTAGTTTCCATGTTAATGATATGACACATGATTTTTGAAGGTGGCACCAAAAGCATGTGGACATACTGAAGGAAGGAAAGTTATCTCAAGGGAGGATGCTATCATGCACATAAAAGCTGCCGTAGATGCTAGGAAAGAGAGTGGTTCTGACATTGTTATCATTGCAAGGTCAGACTCTCGTCAAGCTATCTCTATTGATGAAGCGCTATGGAGGGTACAGGCTTTTGCCGATGCTGGAGCAGATGTTCTATTCATTGATGCTCTTGCTTCAATAGAAGAGATGAAAGCATTTTGTGCGGTTTCACCTAAAGTTCCAAAGATGGTTAGATGCACTCTGTTCTTTTGCCTTTTCTAGATACTTGAAAATTTGAGATAACCATGTAAGAGTTTATAGCTATTCCAAGGTTCTTTGAATTTCATTAACAAAATAGTGGAATACTCTTTCTTGGATTGCACTCTATATTTTTTCTATTGAGCTGAAGTTCTGAACATGAACAGCACAACCATGGGTGTAAACCCACTTCTAATTGGCAAGTTCCATAGATTTTCGCAAATTTTTCAGTGTGCATAGTTGAAGATGTAACCCTAAGCTTTGTTATATCATAATCATTTATAATTACTGCTTTCAAATGTCCTCTTCTCTATTTGTCTCTGAGCTATTAGCCTGTTACTTTTCTCTAGCATTGAAGTGAGGAGAGTTTATAGCCCTGTATTTTGTTCTCCAGGCAAACATGCTAGAAGGTGGTGGTAAAACTCCCATATTGAGCCCTGCTGAACTTCAGGAGATTGGTTTTAGCCTCGTAGTCTACCCATTGTCCCTGATTGGGGTATCAATGCTCGCAATGGAGGTTTGTTCATTATGTTTACAGCTCTTATCCTGGACACTTCTGAATGTCCTGCAAAATTACTTGCATGTCTATTTTGTTTGAGCAAGGGCGCATGGTTTTTTTTTTTAAAATTCCTGTTTGTTATTTATTCTGCCTGATTGATAATTATTTAGTTGTTTCAATCTTATTTCACTGCATTTTTTTAATCCTATGGTACCTCTGTGTACATGTGATCTTCCTCAATTAAGGCCCGGTTTAGTTCCCAAAATTTTTTGTTTTGGGGTGTCACATCTGATATACGGACACACATTTGAAGTATTAAACGTTGTCTAATAACAAAACAAATTACAGATTCCGCCAGGAAACTGCGAAACAAATTTATTAAGCCTAATTAATCCGTCATTAGCAAATGTTTACTGTAGCACCACATTGTCAAATCATTGCGTAATTAGGCTTAAAAGATTCGTCTCACAATTTACACGCCAATTGTGTAATTGGTTTTTTTTTGTCCACATTTAATACTCCATGCATGTGCCCAAACATTCGATGTGATGGGTGAAAAGTTGTTTTGGGAACTAAACAGGGCCTAAGTTTTGTTTGATGCCAATGTCTGCTACTGTATGGGGGAAAAACATCAGGGAGGAGCCTAACATCTCTCAATGCATGCACATATTCACGTGCCATTGTGCATGAGTACAAGACTAGTTACACTCGTTAGCTATTCAATTTGGTGTGGAATCACTATTTGTATTTCATAATACATGAATCTTTGATCTGCAGGATGCTCTGATTGCGATAAAAAGTACTGGTGCACCCCGACCTGGTAGCTTGCCATCTTTTCAGGAGATCAAGGATACTCTAGGGTTTAACCGATATTACAAAGAAGAAAAGCAATATGCAACAGTCCAGCAAGCCCAGCCATTATCCACAAATATTGTACTTCGATTAAAGATCACAGAAAAAAGTGGAACGCAGAAGATAAATGAAGGGATACCTGTAAGAACCAATCCTGCCTTCTCTCACTCTCACTCACTCTCTCTCTCTCATCATTCAGTGATTCATCACATCTTCAATTTTCTTCCAACTGATGTAGACTCCATTTTACAACTTCTTGTTTGCTTTCTTCCCCTTTTTTTCTGCAACAGGCTGGAATCCTAGAGAAGATATCAAAAGCTATTCCAGGTTTGTAGTTCTATTCGCAAACCACATTTAAACGAGCAAGTGTGCAACCCATGTTTGATAATGGCCATATCTTACTATCGTCGTTTCACAGGCTTGGCTGGTGTCAATTTGACGGAAATACTTCAGGGTGCAGATCAGTCCCAGAAAGGAAAATTGCTGCTTGATCGTGAGGATGCAACTGGCGACAGGATCCAGGTGTCCATCGAGTGATCAATGCCTACATACATTGCCTAGAAGCATGGATGGCCAGTAATGTAGGGCAAATCGCCTTCAATATTGAAGCAAACGATTTTCCAAGTTGTAATGGTAGCCGTTTAGCGTAGTACCTTGAAGTGTTACTTCTGCGAGTTGGGTTTTCCTCTTTGCGTTGCCTTGTGGTGTTAATAATCCTGGATTCCTGTGTTGATTCAAATAAAAGAAACCTATCATCAGGGGCTTTAGAATGTTCTTTTCTGCAGACCTACGGCAACAAATGCCAGGGATCATGACAGCAATCTTCATCAGAATCAGTCATGTACAAAGATAAATGGCAATGCCATATTGTCATGTACTCTCAACATGAACCAACTGATCATCACTGACTGCAACCATGCATGTATCAAGAAACCCAGCATAGAACAAATTTTGGGCATGTGTGCCATTCTGTATACACATCACTGTATCGAAGAATGTACAGAATACCAGTATGACGCTCTGCCAAGTTGTCTAGCAGCAAGCTTCAAAACGTCTGTTAAAAAAGTTTAGGAGCATCTCGCCTGCTAAACATACAGAGATTTCTCACACATGCTTCCATAAAAAAGCTATGAAGTGGTAACATGCATATTTATTTCCTTTTATTAAATCGATAAACATGCAACATAAAACAATACACATTAGCTAATCGTGATCTCTATGCTACAGACTAATAACTTGTTACATTGTAGCGCATGCGTTGGAGCCGTTTCTGGTTGGGCTCTGATGTCACAAAAAGGGTCCTCCCTATTCCTCTTCGATTTACAAAGGCTCCCAGCCTGCAAGTGAAAATTTTCATGTCAAAAGAACCCAGCATTCTGGAATTCAGTGTAAAATGTCCATTTGAATCAGTACTTACAAGCATGCCAGAATGCAGTAGGATGATGATGAAACAACATGGACGGAAATATGGAATATACATGGCGTATTATTTCAGTTCATAAGAAATACTTCATCCTATTATCACTTCTCATGGCACGATACACGGCTTGGACCTGAAAATCAACAATCAATTCCTCAATAAGTCAAATTGGACGCAGAATGAAATGAATAGGAAGGTGAAATGAACACTGTAAATAGACTTTGCGATTTCCTGATAAACTTGTATTTGATCATAAGGGGAACATTGGGTACCTGCTCGCTGGAAACTACACGAATTGGTCCAATCTTTACAGAAACATACTTCCCCCTAGATGACAATTTATGAGACACCTGGCCCTGTACAAACGAATTTGATACATAGATCAAAAGAATGCAATGGATAGAACAAGGGGAAGATAACAAAATGCTAAAGAGAATTGCTTAAGAATATAGTAGTTACAAACTAAACATTGGAGTTCGCCAGCCCCTAAGATTCGCTCATATGGCAAACATATTCTACTTTCCATGTCACATGGGGAACAACATCTTGATGGAACTATAGTCTATTTTTCTAAGGGAACCATTCAAATTTAGTAGGCAAACAATAAACAGAGCTCAACTGTTCAACTTATTACTGGTATAGCTCATGCATTAATATGCTACTACAGCATTAATCCTGCACAAAAGGCTAGCAATCTGAAATTTCTATGGAATTAGTGCATTTCTTTTAGTACAAAACATGGACATCAATAAAAGTGTTTTCAACAGCTGGAAATTTTAACCTTGGGAATGGGTTCTTGAAGAACAGATTCAACCGCAACAACCATTGACTGGACAAAATCATCACCTCCAGTACCAATTGCTGTAAATCCTCTATTTGTGGGGTATGAATTTACCTGTGAAACAGCATGGCATGGTGTGTTTAGAAAGGCCAAAAGCAAAGAAAAAAATTTTGTCTTTCAAGATTCCTTTCAAAGTTCTGACACAAACACAAAGAATACCAACCAAAGCAAACTCAAATCAAGTAATTAAACTATTTCCACAATTCTAGAGTAAGCATCAGCATGCAGAACCAATTGCCATGGTAAAATGAAAGACTGGCATGACTATATTCAGGCATTTTGTGCCTAGGATGTTCTTACTTACATAATGTTCCACAACAAATGCTTAACACCATCCACAGTGTAAAATATCATAGAGAAAAAAAATACATGAAATGAGTAAATGACTACATCATGCAGTGGCAAGCAACAACTGACAAGTCACGATCTGCCTACCCATAATTCACCATCTCAACATATCAGGAGCAAACCTAATAAATCAAAGGGTGACCAAGAGGCAATCAAATGCAACATTACTGACATGTAATCTAGCCTTGAGTTGTCTCAATGAAATACTGACACAAAATAACTTTCATATATCAAGGGAACTCATTATCATTGCATTGAATTTCTTAAATTCCTGTTTCACCTGCTCCTCTATAATGACTATGTTAGGTCCATTCTGCTGCATTCAAGCTGAAACAATAAAAAAGGAGGGCGATTTGGATATTAATACACACCTTCTGATCCAGAACAAGCCATTCATCACTTGCATCATCTGTCACAGTGCCACCAAGGACCATGTTTGTTGTGAGTGCAACCCTTCCTTTAGACCTGGCTACCTCTGTTTTTAGCAAAAATGAGATCAGCTCAGTGCAAACCATTCCTTTATAAAGAGAATAATAGAAAACTGTATATATAGCCGCGATCATAATATGCTGCTGCACACCAGTCCACATGTACGTTGAAAAAGAACCGCTATTGGTTACAACTCCAGTTCATCAATGTGGTACGGTTCACTTGTTCTGTTCCGCAATAGAGAAAACAAGATGGCTATATATTTCATTCACGCTATTGAATATATCAACTTTAATTGAAACACATGGAATCACAAAGTTACTATTTTCAAGTTGAAGAACAGGAATTGACACATTACAGTTCTTATTATTCTTATTTTAATGCGAATGATTAGGAGACACTATACTAAAACCCCCAAAATTCTCCATGCTAGAATACATCGAATACTAGTTTAGATTGGTCAGAATTAAGGATGAAACCTATTCAGCAAGACTTGCACTAACAAACTACTCCTACTCGCAAGATGAATCCAAAGAACAGTTTATTATTATTATTGCGGGGATATTATTATTATTACTACTACTACTATTATTATTATTATTAATTTTTTTAACACCTAACGAAATGGGGTTTGGGGGAGGGGGGGTCTCACTGGAGATGGCCTCGAGCACGGCCTCCTGCGGGGGCTGGCCCGGGTCCCCGCCGCCGGAGCAGCAGCGGAGGTGGCGCGACCGGCGGCGGGGCGCCCTCCTCCCCGCCGCCGGTCGCGCCGCGGCGGCGGCGGCGGCGCGGGGGTGGTCGGGGACGAGGAGCGAGCGGAGCGCGAGGGCCCGGCAGCACGCCATCGCACGATTGCTGGGTCGTCGGAATCTCCGCCGGCGGCCGGCGATGCCTTCTCTCTCCTCCTCTCCGGCGAGTCGGCCGGATATTTTCGCGGTTGCGTCTGAAGACGGGAGTTCTCGTTCGCTGCTGCTGCTGGGCCTGATTTCGTGGAAGGGCGACGTTAAAGATTTTTCTTTTTCTTTGCCCTTTGATTTTTTTTATTTAGGTTATTATTATCCGGATATTATTTTTTTATTCAGTTACATGACATCCATCTCACTAAAATCCTATTGAAAACTCTTCCAAAAAAAATCCTATTGAAAACCCACTGATTGTGCCTAAAATTTATTGGCGCCATGATTTAAATCACACCGGGCCATACATTCATGACTCTACTAAGCACTAGAGGGCTGCTACAAAATGGGATCCCGTTGCAACGGAATAGACATATTAACTATTGTCTTGCACGAGTATCACAGGTATCAGGTCCTAGATAACACAGGTACTGGACAACAAGTATCACACAGGTACTGGACAACAAGTATCACAGGTATTAAGTACCATGCAACTGGTACCATAACAGATATCAGGTATCAGGTACTGTCTCATAAAAGGTATCCCGTTTCAATAGGATACCACTATTGGTGCTTTCGTTTGGATTTTTTTATTTTTGGAAAGACCATTTTTGTTGTAGCTCATGTTTTTTTTATAGTTATTTACTTGTGTATTGTAGCAAAAAGGGACGGGTATAAGTGTACGACGGTAAGAGAGTAATCAAATTTTATTTTTGAAGGTTCTGGATGAGTGACTGGTTGTTAACAAAGTCCTTTAACCGATGGATGTTCAGGTATTTAATTTCTTTTAGTAAAATTCTTGCAGCATGTGAAATGCCGCAACTACATTCCCCAGCGGCAGTCAAACCGAGGCGTGAATGCAAGATGCCAGTGGAATGATCGACCGGACAGAGGCTAGGGCAGCTTTCTTCCCACCATGTCGAAGATTTTTATACGATTTATTGAGTTAACTAAAAAGTTGGTTCGTTCCATAGAGATTAGACTTAGAAAAGGAATATTTGTTAACAGCTAAATCGCTAATAAGTTCAAACATCAGATCAGGTATATGTCTACATCTACCTACCCGAAGCTACTAAAACATCCTCAACAACGACATCGAAAACTAGATGAATAATTGAAACAGTCGGGTTGAATATTATCTCTTTGATAGATTTTTGATTAGTTCTATCTTATATCCTACTATATTTTTCAAAATTTTCTTCCATTTTCATGTGTTTAATATGGATAATTTAGTGTGCTACGTTATGCACATATTACTCTATACGTCAAGTATTTGATTTGCAAATTAGAGCTCAAAATGGTCATAATCTTAGCCAATCATTGTGCAATGTTGTTTTACCACATAATTTACACCTTTTGATAGGTTCATTAATAGCACAACGGTTAGTTTTATACGTGGCGTAATCTAGATCTAGTTTGAGGAGAGATAAGAGTGAGAGGTGTTTGTTTTTTTTTCTTTTTTTTTTGAAAAGAAAATGTAAATAAGAGCTAGCTCGTTAAGCTTGCATGTTAAAAACTAGCTTAGCTCGACTCATTATAACTATGCGTTCTAGTTAGATCCAAGCCAACAGCTTGATCACAGAGCTGATTTGAGTCATGAGCTTCGAGTATTTTTCATCCATAATCATGTGGAAGGCAACATGCTTGACGTACACATACATACATGTTCTATTTGACGGCTACAAATTCTAGTGACATTTTCAGCTGGATGACGGGTAGATTCAAAATATTTAATTTATCTTTATAATTAAGTAAATACACTGCGATAATTAGCTAAATTAAACTAGTCTTCAGCTGCACTAGACCATGCATGTGCAGTAATATAGGGCTAAGTTTTCTCCTCCAAGTGATACATCAGCTACATCAGCAAAGGCTTATTTTTCTCAAACATTGTTACATTAACCATTTCCCAGGATTAATTAATTAATGGAGCCAAGGAGGTACACTTGTGAATTTGTGGTTGTAGTACTGACAGTTTGCAGCAATGGAGATCAAGCTGACAAATGGGGCTACCAAATTTTTTGTGGAGAAAGACTCGAACCCCCTCGAACATCCCTGCCTATAACCGGTCATGCTATGGCCATCTGTGTGGTTCTTGTGCATGCCCGGGGACTTTTAATTTCTTGTTCAAATAATCGAGAAGTTATGACATCTTTTGCTTTTTCATGTGCATATTAAGATTCTGTCAAATTTCGATCGACTGATTCCTGTTATTGGGTGCAAATCCGTAAGGAGAGGATTGTACCAATAACGGTGGTGGTAGCATTCTACATTTTTTTCCGTGTTAAAAAATATGTAGTGGTTACATGTAGTAAAAACTTGGAACGACCATAGGATTAGAAAATGGATGTTTAATATATTATCCATATCGTTATGAGTATATATTTAACCATGAGTTAAATTTACTCAGGGTGACAGACAAATTATATACGTTCATATATCCATTACATATTCTACGATAGTTTTCATATTTTCATCACATACGTGGTTTTCACCGTATATCTTTCCTACGTTGCTTAGGCTACTGTAAAGTTGTAATGCAATGTTAGCTCCGGGTTGGGTTACAAAGGCTAAGTCTTAGCTACTTATTTTGGAACAACATTGCACATGCCTATTAATGCAATGTTTAATTTTTTTAATACTCATTACTCAAATCAATTACAGGTGATAAGAGACAGAACATCTGATTGATGTTGGAAACAGTTTATTTTGCCTTCCACATACATTGCACATACATTTTCCCCTAATGCTGTTACTTGTAGTACCAGGGATTAGTTGATGACCAGTCACTTTAGTGAAGCCCATCACTGTGGCTTCCACTATGCTGTGGTCTGCAGTTTGCATGACACCAGCACACATCATCACAGGTGCTGTGCCTTTTAAGGGCCCTATCCATCATCACACTTTGCAGTGAAAAAAAAAGAAGAAAAACAAACATGCACACAGGAGAGATCAGATCATATCAGCCCTTGTGTCACCATCTCTGCCACCACTAGTTAGTTGATCCATCACCCTCAGTTAAGTTTAAGCAGATAATCATGCACACTGTGATTAAGCTGTTTCCAACTCTAACATGCTGTCTGTTAAGATCCTGAGAGATGATTAAACTCATGCAGTCAATGACACACTGTGTGAGCTGGGTATACTCATCACACATTTCACATCCATCAGTGTGTTGATTAGCTCATGAGCTTTGCTTTGTCTCCATGTAGTTAGCCTTTCAGAGATTGAACAGCTGTAGCTGTGCATCGCACATGCAGCCATGGCCCCCCAGGCAGAGGCAGGCAAGCAAAGCAGGAGCAGAGGCAATGGTTGGTTTGGTTTGGTTTGGTTTGGTGCAATGCAGTGCAGTGCAAAGCAAAGCCCTCGAATGCAACTGCACATGCAGCTGGCTGGGCTCTCTGCCTGTTCTGCCGCCTGTTCATGTGTGGACGCCACTCATCTGCAGAGATCAATGCTGCTGTGCCTCATCATGCTTAACTACATGTCATTTCGCTCTCATTGAGCATCAGCAGATCAGTATGCCTTGTTGCAGTTTATTCGGTCTCGATTGGGGGACAGATTACCTGTTCTTGCTTCTGATTCAGCTTTCTCTTGTCATGTTTTTAATTACCGGATATCGATTGCCATTTCGCTCTCATGAGCAGATAATTACCTTTTCCTTATTATTCTACCGCCATTGTTATCACCAATAGAAGTGATCTCAGGCGTTGAGATGGTAGTATAAATATGTATGATCTATTAGATTTAAAAAGATAAACATCTTAAATTGATTCTACTACCAGTAGAGACCATTCTAAAACATCTCTTCTGAAATATATATATATATTATATATATATATATATATATATATTTATTTATACTTTGGAGTTTGGACAAACCTCCTATACTATGGGATAAAAATACTAAATGGAACATCGCATTTGCGCGAAGTTTCAGTATCTTTCCTTCTTCGTTGTAGTTTATAGAATAGTAGGATGGTACTTCACCACTTCACTGTATATATAACATGCAATGGATCTGTCTATTGAGAATCTTAGTTCAGGCTAGCTAACTTTGTTTCTTTCCCTTGTCTTTTGATAGGAAAGCTATGCTAGCAAATGATCATCCCTTAGTTCTGTGTAGGAAACTCCTTTTTTGGATCATGTATGTTGTCATGTACTCATGTTTCCCTATACCCTCTTGTTGAATAAAGATCAATGATTCTGAATTTTGGAAGTACATAGTCTGATTGCATCATTTACCTTGTCTATAAATATGCATTTTATTTCTTTTTTTTTCAGAAGAAATCGCAGCATTAATTTTGAGATTTCTGTTAGGCAATTGATGAAAATGATGCCAGATTTTTCATTCTGTGATGGCTGATGGCTCCAACTCTGCTGAAACGATGCCATTGTACAGAAGAAAACAGCTTTAAATAGTGGAATTATTTGCCATAACAATTTTGCCTGTCCTTCGACAGCAATTTCGCAACCAAGAATAAAAAAACATGAGTTCCAGCAGGACACACGTCAAATAGTATTTTTACAATAATACTGTTTGGAAATTGCACAATTTTGCACTGTACTGTCTAGTTATGCCTTTCTTTTTTCCTGGCTGCTGTACTCAACATATAATTCAGTACAACCCGTCCTTGCAAAAATAAAAAGTAAAAAAAAAAGAAAAGGAAAAAAAGGAACAAAAAAGCTGTGCCCTACATTGCAGGATAACTAGGGAGAGAGTAGGTTTATCTGGTACCACAATGTGGTTACCAAACCATCTTACATCAATGATAAGGGCAATAATGCTGTTATATGCATGATTCAGCAATCTTTGCATCTGCAGGGATCAAAAGACATGGGGGAGGTTAAAAAGGTGATGAGGAGGCTGTGAAAAACACACAGAGTGGATGTGATTTAACAGTAAGTAGCATCATCATGCCCTCATTGACGTTACCCATATGGTTGTACCTTCTGAAAGAAAGTCAGCAGCCAGGATACATGTAACATATGTGTAGGGAAACGTTTGCAATGAGAACACTTGGTGGTAACTTTTGTCTGGAGCTCCTTTTGTGGCAATTGCCTGTGGAGCTTTTGCTTGCTGCTGCTAGCTGGTCCTAGGAGATGATCAGATGAGATGACCCATGGATGACAATTGACAAAGCACCCAGAGTGTTGTGTCAAGTGGTGCCTCAACTAGCTCAATACCTCTCTGAACTTTTTAACTGAAAATGAAACAATGCTAGATCGATCGATGTGCCGCAAGAAATTGTACTTTGGAGATATTCGCGTCACATTTCTTTGATAATTTTAAGAGATTTTTTTTTCTTTCGGTAGCTTTGTTAGCAGTTTTCAGGTGTCATGCAAGCCAAGATGATTGTCAGAGTCAGTCAGGGGCATGGTTGCATTGATCATAAGCTGAAATGCAACCTGATTGAACCCGCCCAAGTGGTGAGCGGCAACAGAGCTGGAAATCAGAAAGTAAGAGCACATGGGTATCATTTCAGCTAGTAGTACTGCCTGTGATTGTTCTTTTGGCCATGCATATGATTGGTCTCTGATCAAATGCCACATGAATCAAAGCAACAGCAGGAGAGATGTTGTCACAACCTGTTGATCCTGAATAACACTTTTATTTTCCCAACAATTAATGGCTTTTATTTTCTCAGGCGGACCCTCTAAATTTAGCCCCGCCGCCTGTGAAAATCAATTTTTACGGTCAGAGCCTTAAGAAATACGCCTACGAAAAGCTGATTTGGCCGATTGCAAAGATGATTTCTCTAGTAGCAGCGTAACCTTAAACCCAATGGCATCATCACATCGATCATATCATGCTTTCTCAATCATTTGACCAGCTACAGCTATAGCTGCATGCCTGAATCTGAATGGCGCTTGCATCTACTCCATGAACAAAACACCTCTCCCTGCAGGGCTGCAGGATTTCAAAAACCATGCGGCGCTTTGTGCTCACTGAAATCATGGGGCGTCGCATTCATGGTACGCGCTACTGGGTGTACTGTACTGCCTACCGTATTCCCGGTCGACGAATCAACATCGTCGTCGTCGTCTTCCTCCCTCCTCTGCGCATTCAGGCCAGTGTGCACAGTGCCTGCAGCCTCCTGCAGCTACCATCCTTTACCCTGGCACTGTTCGTTCAGGGGGGCAAAACCTGGGCTTGCTGCAGAGTCTGTATGGATACAGATATGCCTTTGTCACAGGTATACTACCAAGTAGTAGTAGTAGTACACTGGTCTACTGTTATGTAGTAATTGCTCTCTTATTTGCACTTCATGTGATGTCTAGTTCATCACCGCCTACACTGCATTTTGCTGCTTTGTTCTTTGCTCTATTATCGTTTTCTTTTCGTTTTTCATGTACAGTTTCGTTGATTCTTGATGTTCCTCATTAAGTGGTAGCATGGATCAAAGAAGCTGTGCTGCTACAGAAATCTGAACATGTTTTTTTTTCGATGATCTGACATCGAATCCTTTCGCACGCTGACGACATGAATAGTGATCAACAGTGCGTATATATATTGTTATATAGCATATCGTTTTAATTGTTTCCTCTCAACAAAGCTGAAGCTGTCCATATGGCATTGTGATTGGGCACCATGTATGATGTATGCAGTGCCTCAGGGGCAACCTTCACATGGTTTAGGGCACCAACCAAACACACCCAAATTCAAGGCATCTGGCATTATCACTGTGTGAAGAATGTGATATGGCCTTCTCTGATTCGCTCACTCATCTATGTTGCATATTGCTCTAGCATGCCAATATCTGTCGTCAAGCATATCGATGTCTTAAAAAAATAAATTATGGGTACTTCACTCTGGTTCTATAATTCTTAATGTATTGAATAAAATTAAAGTTAAACAATTAAAACTTTAACTATCAATAGTTATCAAATATCTGTTTAAAGGAACTAGAATAAGATGTATATGTTAGTTTTAAAAATTACTTTAATAAACTAAAATATTTACTTATGTTTTATATATTATAATGAAAAATCATAGTCAAAGATGTGTTTCGAAGACTGTGTCATTGTCCAAAACATAAAGAGTTATGAAATTGAAATTAAAGAGTATCAGCTAGTAGATGTAAACGTACTAAGGCCCTATTTGATGAAGTTTATGGCAGCTGTAGCTCATTGGGAAGTTTTAGACTTTCAATAGCTATAAAATCTAGAAATGAACTAGTGGTCAGTTCTCTATATTCTCACTAGCTGAATCCTCATGGCTGGCTTTTGGAATCTCCAGCTCCACTAAACAGGGGCTAAGTCTAAAGGAACAATTATATATTCATTCTATCCGGTGAAATCATAAATATCCTTATTAGTACTTTTTAAGTAGAATATATACTATCAGTAAAAATGGTAGTAGAAATGATCAGACAATCATTTGGACAGTTACCCTAAAATAAAAAATCTAGATTGTTTCCACTTATAGTAGAGATCACAGCAAAAGTAATCATTACTCCTTCTGGTTTGTAATGCATGACACTATTGACTTTTGGATATACATTTGATCGTTCGCCTTATTAAAAAAATATGTAATTATTATTTATTTATTGTGATTTGTTTTATCATTAGAGATATTTTAAGCATGGCTTATATTTTGCATAATTGCACAAAATTTTTGAATAAGATGAGCAATCAAATATAATGTACACCAAAAAATAAATGGTGTCACATATTAAAAACCAAAGAGAACACTATATTTAAATAGACTTCACAAGAACACTACTCTAAAAGAAACTTCTAGGCCGGAGATTACAAGAATTTTACTTTTTTTGGTTGGTCAGCACAATTCAAAAGCTAGATCTAACTTTTGGATAATATTATCGGCTTTCACTATATGTTTGAAACTAAATTTTATGGAAATTTCCAGGGAAACGAAAAGGATATTTCCGGTCCCCCCACTCACTACTGTAAATATATTTCTTTTTTTTTCCTTTAAATCAAGAAGCCCATATCTTCTCTCCATTATTCTATACTATATTTTCCATGTGTACGTACTACATATATAGCTAAGCTTAGCTGCAAAGGGCCAAGCAGCTATATCTAACTAAATTAATTAACTCACTTGTTCTTAGTTCTTACCTGCCCATGTTAAATTAATTTAACTTAACTTAATGCAGGCTAGCTGTAAATTAATCCAGCATTTACACATCAAGAGTAAGAGAGAAGCAACAACAAGAAGCTAGAAGAAGAAGAAGAAGAAGCCTTGTGTTGATGCATGCATCCAACCAGATGATCACCATCCATCCATCCCAAACTGAACACGACACATGTCGCAGCCATGGCGCCATTCGCAGCAGCTATAGCATATGCTACTGAAGTGTTCGTTACAGCAAGTCAGCAACAATGGCGACCTAGCTGCGTACGTACGCCATCGCCATGGCGGCGGTGCATGAAGCTAGCTAGGGGTGGAAGCGCTGCATGCAGGCGTGGCAGGTGATCTCGAGGGCGGCGGAGGCGGCGGCGGGGCCGATGCCGAGGCGGCGGGCGGCGATCTCCTTCATGCGCTCGACGCGCTCCACCTCCTCGCGGGCGCGCTCCCAGATCGCCCGGGCGCGCGCGAACTCCCGCTCCGCGAGCTCCAGCTCCGCCCGCGCCATCTCCCTCACCCGCTCCGCGTACGCCCGGTGCGCCGACGCCTGCCTCATCTGGTCCGCCGTCTGCTGCCTCACCGCCCGCACGTCCACCACCGGCGGCGGCGGCGGCGGCGGCGACGGCGACGGCACGGCGGGCCGCCGGCTGCTGCCTCCTCGTCGTCGGCCCAATGCTCATCGACAGGTCCAGGTCCAGCGCCGCCGCGCCGCCGCTGCTGTCCACGCTTCCTCCGCCTCCGCCCAGCCCCGCCGCCGCGTCGCCGCCGCCGCCGCCGCACAGGACACGCGATGCCGCCGCGGCGGCGGAGGCGGCCGCCGGGAGCAGCAGCTGGAGCTCTCTCTCGCCTTGCTCCTGATCCATGGAGGAAGAAGCTTGCAATCGCGCGTTCGTACTACGTATTTATTTTGCTGCTTTGCTTTGCTTTTCTTCTCTTCTTCTATCTAGCGTATGGGTGTGTTTATTATTATACTCTAGGTGAAGTGAGCGTGTGTGAAATGACCGAAATGCCCTCAGGAGTAGGCTGCAAACTGATGCCCTTTGTACTCAAGCGTACGGGGACACCCTTGGTATTATTTAGGCTGCAGAAACACACACTGCACTGGTGTGGTGGATGGACCACAGCAAAGGCATCTCCAGACATATGCACCCCTTGTGGATGCAACAGCTGCAACTGCATGCCCTGCACCCAATCAGATTTACATTTTTTACCTATGGTAGGGGTGAAGGTGTCAAATCCTCGTCGACAGGGTATAGGCCTACGTACACGTAGTTAGATTTGTTCGGGCTCTGGAAAATTTTATGGCTACTCTAGTAGTTTACTTATGCTGTGAACCTCGTTGACGCGTGTCGAACAGGATCAAAGTATGCACAAAACTAGCCATTCTCGACATAGCCATCGCTACTACTGGTTATAGCGAGGGTTACCTTTTTCTTTTTGCTCGCGCGACTAATTAATTAACTGAAACCAGGGTTTACAAAACCGTACGATTATTGTGGTTACCACGTGCAGCAACTTTTTTCTTTTTTACCTTGTACGGGTACCGTGGTACCGCCAAACCACGGGGTGACAGTAACCCCACTCCAAAAGATTTAGTAAACCTTGACGGAAACACGAAGTTACTTAATTAGCAGTACACGTACGCGCACCACCATTGGTGCGGTTTTGGGAGCCTGATGATGTGAGGTCGATCTGAAGGTGGGGAGGGGAAGAGGGAGGATCTGCCGACCAAATCCGCAATGGGGGCATAGGGGGTGAGCTGAAGATGTTCTTTCATGGCTGCCTTTTCTTCCACATGCTGCATGCCTCTGCTGCCTGCCTCCTCTCTCTCTCTCTCTCTCTCTCTCTCTAGCTCAAGGTAGCTTTACGGGTTGGCAATGGCGCAAATTATTTGGCATGCATACACATGTGTGCTCGAGCTGTGAGAGAGATTAAAGAGAGAGAAGTTTCATGGCCTGTGTGAGCGTGTAGTAGCGAGAGAGCTTTAATTGGTGAGGCCTAGCTTTGCTGCCGCTGCTGTGAAAAGAAAAATAATGGTCGGGACAAATGAAGAAGATTAGTGAGAGAGAGAGAGAGAGAGGAGAGGCAAAGAAAACTATTCGGCTACAGGTGAACGGGCTTCTTCCTTGGACCTTCGTTTAATCGATCTCTATGATCTTCTTGATGATCGATCTCCTTTTTGCAGCTCTGGTGGCTGCATATGCATTTTGTATTGGGATTGTTCATCAATTAGTACTATATTAGATGGTGTTGCATATATATATATACATATATATATATATATATCATGTCCTTGATTTTTTTTAGAATAATTCGTTTTGTTCGACCGCCAGATGGATATGGATGTCTAAAATAATATAGATTGGATATATAAATTAATACTCACCCTTTCTAAAATATAAATATTTGTAGATTCAAAGTTTGTATGAAAATATAGATATTTCTTCATTTGTTTTCTCACCTGAAACAATCACAATCATTTCTAACCTCAGTCTAATTTCTGCAAAACTATAAATAAAATACTTATATTTTGCAACAGTGAGTAGAAAATAATGGACAAATGTGCATTATCCTTGAGACCATAAAGTCAATAAAACTGCACATTTCTGCACATACACAGAGAGATAGTACTATATATTCTTTTCTCTGTTTTTCTTGTCATGCATGTTATCTGAAATTTTTGGCAGATCATTATCACTATATGCAGTCAACAGAAGTACAGAACAAATTGTCTAGACATAAAAGAATCACGTTAATTGGAGTAAATTAAAAGAAAGAATAATTGTATAACACGCGCTATTCAGCCTACTTGAACACAGAGAATCCAGTGTGACAGGTGTGCTGGGGTCAAGGGAGATAATGAAGGGGCAGCACAGCCCAAATGCATGGACCGTATACGTGGCAAGCGAAGGGGAGAAAACAGAGGATTTCTTGATGGTTTAAGTTTGCTTAATTATGTTGAGAAGCATCAATTAGATACCCCAGAGCTATCAAAAGACACAAATGTTTTTATGTGTCCAGGCTATAATCTTGCAGATTAATATATAAGATTTGATATTTGAAACACTAAAATGGCAGTCGACCACCAGGCTCTTTATATATATGGGATTCATAATTGCATCTAGTTTAATTCCCTGGTATATATAGAAATATATTCAAGCATAAGTAAATTCGTTTTAATTTCCTTGATCTCTTGTTGGCAACATTCTCCTTTTTCTTATTTTCATTAAAAGCTACTACTAGTACTTCTCAGTATATATGTTCCACTCCGTCCGTTTCATATTATAAATCGTTTGACTCTTTTTCTAGTCAAATTTTTTTAAGTTTGATCAATTTTATAGAAAAATATAGTAATATTTTCAAAACAAAACAAACATATTATCAAAATTTATTCAGTGTAAAATTTAATAAAACTAATTTGATATTTTAGATGTTGCTAAATTTTTCTACAAACTTAATTAAACTTAATAAAGTTTAACTAGGAAAAGAATCAAACGACTTATAATATAAAACTAAAACAGAGGAAGTAGTTTACATTGCATAATCTCATTTCGATGCTTCGATTACCAATGCGGCTGGACAAAATTAAGTTGGGGTCTTGTTGAGATCTTTTTCTTTTATCTAGGGGGCTCATATTGAATATCAACTAGTTTTTTTTTGGCGCCATTGAAGCATTTGAGCTATGCATCGACTGATGGACTTGTAAGATATACTTCCTCCGTTTCTTCACGATGTAAGTCATTTTAGCATTTTTTATATTTATATTGATGTTAATTAATCTAGATAGATATATATATATATGTCTAGATTCATTAACATCAATATAAACGTGGGAAATGCTAGAATAACTTACATTGTGAAACGGAGGGAGTAGCTATACCTAGTGTACATGGTTGCCCGGCCCAAACTAGTAGATATTACATTGCCCAAGCTGTTAGCTCAGTCATCAGTCAGCTTTTCATCAAATCATCAAAGCTGGTTTTGGTGCTCCTTGAAGCAAAGCATTTTTGAGTCGTTGTACTTATGAAAGATGCATGCATTACATATACTACTCCTACATTGTGTTGCCCAAACAAGCAGATATTGCATTGCCCAAGCTGTTAACTCAGTCATCAGTCAGCTTTGCATCAAATCATCAAAGTTGGCGAAAATCAAGATCACTGCCCCCTCTGCATGCATGATTTTCAATTTTTTCCTGGGGATCTCTGCTTGCTATACTCGCTGATGCATGCTGCATATATATGCTGGACTACACTCTGCTAGGTTGCATTCTCCCAGAGAGAACATACCTTAGTGGCGAGAAAAAGATATTGACCAGTTGATATGACTCCGATACTTCAGTACTAGTACTCCTTCCCTCCGTCTCAAAATAAGTCAATCTCATACTATAATTTATTAAATTTAGATATACTTTAAGGGTGTGTTTAGTTCTTTGAATGTAAAGTTTCTAAAGTATACGGACGCACATTTGAAATATTAAACGTAGACTAAACAAAATAAATTAAAAATTCCACCTGTAAACTGCGAGATGAATTTATTAAGCCTAATTAATCCATCATTAACAAATATTTACTGTAATATCACATTATCAAATCATGACGTAATTAGGCTCAAAAGATTCGTCTCGTAATTTACATGCAAACTGTGTAATTGTTTTTTCCCCTACATTTAGTGCCCCATGCATATGTCCAAACTTTTGATGTGACGTTTTTGGCTAAAATTTTTTAGATCTAAATAAGGCCTATGTTCAGATTTGGTGTACTATGGGCCTGTTTGGCACAGCTCCAGCTCCAGCTCCACTCCTCTTGAAGCTGGAGCTCAGCCAAACAGTTTCAGCTCCACCAAAACTAGGAGTGGAGCTGGGTGGAGCTCTCTCACAAAATGAACTAGAGTTGTGAAGCTGTGTGTAGGCAGCTCCACAACTTCACTCCAGACCCACTCCTGGAGCTAAATTTAAGAGTTGGAGCTGTACCTAATAGGCCTACAGTGATGTACCATATTATAGTACGAGGTTAGCTTATTTTACAACGGAAGGAGTATTAGGCTAGTAGCTAACGGCCGGAGCATCACTGCTGCAACACACATCTGCATGCATGCATGCAATGTATGCAATGAAATGATGATGATCATCGCATCGCCTCTACAGGAGATAAAGCTGCAGGTATTGGGGGCCATGCAATGGGAGGAGATGACGTCAACATATGTAGGCAATGTTGTCAGTGATCGGATTCGTGCAAGATATCCCAATGTTAGGGGTAAAAAAACATAGCAGCACACGTGGCGCAGATGTAGACGTGTCGATTGTATATATGCATCAAACCTTAGCCTGTGTGTACTGTACACTCTCTCCTGCCGGTTCTTTATCGCTCATAGATCGATGAAACTGAGTTTGTATAGCAATTATTTGAGAGTTGAAAAGTTGATTCCAAAGAGTTTTTTTTTTGAAAAATATCCTATAAAATAAATTTCTAAAAAGTCCTACCATGTAGGAGCTTGGAAATCCATATATAAGCTTTTTAGAGAATGCATGGGACCTAAGTAGTATATATGGATGATTCTGAATAATTAAGCAGTCTATGATTCGACTGTATTCATGCATATATACTTTATTTATAAAAAAACATGCATATATGGACCGACTATGCATATACTCCATATCGGTTTGACTATCTTTTT